ATTAAACTTTACAAAAAAATCTATAAATAAACTTCACAAAAAAACATTATAAATCAATTTTACAAAAAAAATCGTTATAAATAAACTTTACAAAAAAAATTGTTATAAATAATTTACAACAAAAACTCAGCCAAAAGATATTTGGAAAAATATTATTAAAACAATCTTATTCAAATCAATTGTATTTTTGTAAATTATTAAAAAATACAAGACAGTTTTATATACTCTCTACAAAAGAAATGATACTATGAGGTTACATTCGCCAAGTGCAAATGATTAATTATTTTTTAATTTTTTTTGTAGTTTTGGTTATATACATGTGGTTTTGATTATATAATATATTTATAAATTAAATATGGTATTAATGTATTAGTAATATCCTATAACCCATATTGTTAAATAAAAAATAAAATAATTTTTTTAATTGATATTAACTGCTGTATAGGTATCATTAAAATAAGAGTACCGTTTATTTATAAAAAAGGTACGCCAAGGGCTTTTTGTGTAAGTTATTATATAATGTTTTTAATATTATTGTATTTCTGTATTTATTTTATTTTTTATTTAACAATATATTACTAATATATTAATAACATATTTAATTTGTAATTTATTTATAACATTTTTTTTTGTAAAGTTTATTTATAACTATTTTTTTTTGTAAAATTGATTTATAATGTTTTTTTGTGAAGTTTATTTATAACGATTTTTTTGTAAAAAATGTTTATTTATAAAGATTTTTTTGTAAATTATATGTAACATGAACTATAAGATTTCCACATTCGCATCTCACACTCGTCAAGGATACAGGCCCTAGGTTCGTTTCTTTGTAATAGTACTCAATGGGTCATATTTATAGTCGGATCTTATACCTGTTATCAACTTTTGTTAATAAATAGGCTTGATGGATTTGTTATATCAAATCCTGCTGCCCAACTGTCGCCAGATATGTGACAGTCTGCTGACGGGCAATTGCTTCAAATTTGCAATAAAAACCGCGCAAAGCTTGTAGTGATTTGACGGCAGATTGGCAGCAGAAACAGCGCAGATCTTGTCGCGCAGCAGGCTCTGCGCGGTTTTTGCTGCAAATCTGCAGCAATTCCCTTATAGAAATATCATACTAAGAATCATTGATAATTACTTATTTTCAGTATTAAAAATACTGGATAATAAGTAATTATCAATGATTCTTAGTATGATATTTCTATAAGGGTTGCCCGACAGCAGGTTTTCTGTCATCAAAACCGTAGCTGAATGCGGACACAGATGGCTATGGTTTAGATGTGGATTTTTTATCAAATTTGCGCGCAGTCTATAGTCAATTTGCTTACTGGTCTGAAGTCAATTTGCTTATGTTATTAATTAATAACATAAAATAATAAAGATATTTAAATATATATTTCTAATAATCTTATGTCCGATTTATATTTCATCTTAGCTCCTTTCTTATAATTCTGGATTTACACCAAGAAAAAGTAATTAAAATAAAGTAACTAAAAGTAAGTAAAGTAACGAAGTAAAATATCGTTGCATTCAAGTAACGGTAACGTGTTACTTAAGATCTATTTTTTAAGATCAGTAACAAGAAACGGTAACGAGTTACTTTTTACCGAAAGTAACGGTAATGATAACAAGTTAGTTTTAAAAAGTAACTTTCCCAACACTGTGTAGTAGGTTGTATAGACGATCGTTGTAATTTCCTACTTACACATGTCACAGTTATATAACGTGAATATAACATGAAAGTAACATGTGACTAAAAAGTTATAATGTTATTTATTAGCGAATTAACACATATTTTTTGGTTGAATTCCAACAATTTATTCATTAATATGGTTCAAATAAGTGATAATGTATGATTATTTTGTCTAAATAATATTTGGTGTACAACTTTGCTTACGCCGTTTTTTTTTCCGAAATTCGAGAGTTTATTGTAAAAAACTGGTTATACATTTATGATTCAAAGTATTGTCCATCGCAGGCCCCCTACTTTCTCCCATCTTTCGGGCAGCGTACGAATCCCGCGTCGAAAAAACTGGTCATCTTTTGAGGCGATCCACGAATCGATCCAATTTTTTACTTCTTCATAAGACCGGGAGTGCTGGTCAGCCAGGCCGTGTGCCATTAATCGAAACAAGTGATAGTCAGAGGGAGCAACGTCTGGAGAATACGGCGGGTGGGGTAGGACTTCCCATTTCAACGTTTCCAAGTATGTCTTGACCACTTTCGCAACATGGGATCGAGCATTGTCATGCTACAAAATCACTTTATCATGTCTCTCGTTGTATTGCGGCCGTTTGTCTTGCAATGCTCGGCTCAAACGCATCAATTGCGTTCGATACCGATCGCCTGTGATTGTTTCAGTCGGTTTTAACAACTCATAATACACTACGTCGAGCTGGTCCCACCAAATACAGAGCATGATCTTGGAGCCGTGAATATTCGGTTTGGCCGTCGACGTGAAAGCATGACCGGGAACTCCCCATGATTTTCTGCGCTTGGGTTTATCGTAATGAACCTATTTTTCGTCCCCAGTCACAATGCGATGCAAAAATCCATTTTTGCCTTTCAAGCAGCTGTTCACAAGCAAACAAACGCCGTTCAACATCTCTCGGCACCCAATTTCCTTGCTTCTGAATCATTCCTATGGGTTTGAGGCGTTTTGAAATGGCTTGTTGAGTCACTCCCAATGATCGTGCCAATTCTTCTTAATTTTGACACTAATAACATAATTAATTTGTAATTTATTTATAACAATTTTTTTTGTAAAGTTTATTTATAACTATTTTTTTTTTGTAAAATTGATTTATAATGTTTTTTTGTGAAGTATATTTATAACGATTTTTTTGTAAAAAATGTTTATTTATTAAAGATTTTTTTGTAAATTATGTGTAACATGAACTATAAGATTTCCGCATTCGCATCTCACTTACACTCGTCAAGGATACAGGTCCTAGGTTCGTTTCTTCGTAATAGTACTCAGTGGGTCATATTTATAGTCGGATCTTATACCTGTCAACTTTTGTTAATAAATAAGCTTGATAAATCAACTTTTGTTAATAAATAGGCTTGATGGATTTGTTATATCAAATCCTGCTGCTCAACTGTCTGAGTCTTGATCAAGTAATGCCTCCAATTCTGCATCTTTGAAAACCTCTCTTCCACCTGCAGGTCTTCGACGTCAAAATCATTCATCGTTCTTGAAGCGTTGAAACCACTCACGACACGTTCTTTCACTGATAGCGGTCTCACCATAAGTATTTGAGAGCATTCGATAAGCCTCAGCCGCAGATTTCTTCATATTGAAGCAGAAAATTAAAACCTCCCGCAAATGACGATTTGGCTCATAAACTGACATTTTCAATCGAGAATAACTTTATGATGCAGACACAAATCGACTAATGTTTCTATGGGGTTATGTTGACAGATGCCCAAGTTTATTGTATGACGTCTATGATCTATTTATTTCGACCACCACTTACCGCTAAAGCCATCTATAGGAAAACGACGGAAGCAAAGTTGTACATCTAATAAAAAAAATTAGCATTTCATATTTCGTGTCATTTCACTTATTCGTCAAACTCGCGTGGTTTCGATCCTGTGTCAGGCGGCATCCATTTTTAAATCATGTTCAATGCTTAACTTCAACGATCATACTAGTGATGCCGATGCGCTGATGCTTAGTACATGATATTTACAATATACTCTTATATCATTCAAAAAATGTTATGATATTTGTTAGTAAATGCTTGATACGACGTAACAATAATCACAATACGATTAATATTGATACAATGTTGTCAAATCGGTAATCAAATTTTAACTTACAACGTGCTCGCAAAAAAGAGAGAATATTGCTTCTTTCTCTCTCACAATATTTTGACAGAGTAAAGTTATGATTAGGCTCTTTTTGTAAGAACTCTAGTTTTATAATATTGTGAGAGAGAAAGAAGGAATATTCTCTCTTTTGCGAGCACGTTGTAGGTTAAAATTTGATTACTGAGACAACTTAATTGTTTTAATATTAATCGCATTGTGATTGTTGTTACGTCGTGTCAAACATTTACCAACAAATGTCATAACATTTTTTGAACGATATAAGAGTATATTGTAAATATCACCTACCAAGATATCGTTATAGCGCATCGGCATCACCAGTTCTCGTACGATTCGTTGAAGTTAAACATTGAACAACATGATGTAAAAATGGGTGCCGCCTGACACAGGATCGACACCGCGAGTTTCACAAATAAGTAAAATGACACAAAATATAAAATGCCAGTTTTTTTAAATTATTTAGACAAAATAATCATATTATCACTTATCTGAATTGTACTATGAATAAATCGTTGGAATTCAACAAAAAAATATGTTTGCTGGGACATCCCTTATAGAAATATCATACTAAGAATCATTGATAATTACTTATTATCCAGTATTTTTAATACTGAAAATAAGTAATTATCAATGATTCTTAGTATGATATTTCTATAAGGGATTACTTAGTTATTTTGCAGTTATATAACATTAATTGATATTCCTATATAACCATTATATACATGATATATTACATGTTACATCTATGAGTGAGAAATAATAACATAACAGTAACATATCAATAACTTTCATGCAATATTATCTGTTATAATCATTTCTATTGCAGTTATATAATATTGATATAACTGTGTTTGCCGGAATGTATATATATTTTATTACACATTGAGAAATGTTTTCAAAAAATACCATAAAAAATATTTTAAACTTTTAATATCCTTTAATGATAAAATACTATGGTTATTTCATTGGTTTATATATTTGTTTGTTATAAAAAAAGAATTAAAAATTTTCTTTTATTGTACTTTTTTGAGCTTAAAGGTTTTTTTTTTAATTTTTTATCTATTTTAAAATTTCATTCGATCCCAATGGAAGTTTTTCGAGAGAGAAACAGTCCGCAATGTATTAAAATAAATAATTTGAAATCAACGCTGAATGTCTCTTACCAATGATGTTGCGTTCTCAGCAGCGATCATAGCTTCGTCCGCAGCGTTCTTCGCAGCTTGAATTGCAGTCTCGATGTTTCTGTATGCTGAAACGGCTCTCACTGCATTGGTATTACGAGTGTCAGTCAGCAAATCATCCAGCGCCAGAGAATGGTTGTAGAGGTACGCCGCGTGAGCGTGAGCATTCTTCATCGGTTCTGCTAACTCAATCAGCATATAATCATTTTCGGTAATGGTGGTATTCAATTGCGTAGTTGCATCCGTTATGTCGTTTATCACTAAAAGAAGGAAGAACCATTGTTTCCAACGTTTTTATTTTCTAGTGATAAAAAGAACAACGCTACTTACACAGAATACCAATATTCGCTTTCGCATCGATGAGATATTGACTAGCGTTCTTGTTAAGCATATCCCCCGCTTCCAAATCTTCTTTTGCTTCTATCGTCGAGTTTTTCACTACATCAAAGTTGCCAGTTTCGGCGGCGAATCTATTCTCCTTGTTCAATTTGTCTACCGTACTGGCCAGTTCTTGAGCCTTTTGCGCAATTTCCATCAGGTCGTCCATTTTGACACTGGCATTTCTGATTTTGTCGCTGAGACTGGCCGCGGTGCTACTTAGATTACTCACAGGAAAATTGTACTTTTGCATTTCAGACACTAGAATGTTGGCATGGTCCACTTGGTCCACTGCATCGTCCCGGAATTTGATAAAGGAAACGTCCTTAATTTTCTTCAGAATCTCCTTTGCTTCGTTCAGAGCGCTGTCGACTTTCGCACTTGTTCCCAGTTCAATATTTAATGCTAAAGACTGCACCTCAGATACAATCTGATTCACCAGCTCGATTTCGCGTACTACGTCCTCTTCAAGATTGTTCATGTCCCTTAACGTCTTTTCTGCAGCATCCTTCCACTTAATACTATCTTCAGCGGCAAATTCAATCTGTCGATTCCGGTTAGACATTTCGTGTTCCAACTGTCCTAATTTTTCTTGCAATGGCAATAGATTCACTCTACTTGGATTTAGTACTTTCACTTCGGGATAGAGTTCGTTCGCCGTGTCGTTAATGAATTTCAATCGTTGATTTGTGAAGTAGCCCTCCGCGACCGTCTGTAAGCACATTGACGACGGCTTAAATTATATATTTGTTTTATAACTTGTTGACTTAACCTAAATTTTTTTTGCTTACACTGTATTCGCGCGAAATAGGTTCCAATAAATCAGCTAGTTCATCAGTAACATCCAAGAGATTTCCGATGCAGGAACCACAGGAGAAACAACCCTGCGTCGGGATAAGTACATGTCGATAGGGGCAGTGGTCGCATTTTTCGCCAATTACACCAGGTAGACAGGTACACTGGCCAGTCATAGTGTTGCAGGACACACCGACGGAGTAGCCAGTGTGACATCCGCATGCTGAAAAAGACAAATGTGTGAGAATTTTTCACGTGAAGGAAAAAGTTTGATTGTATTAACGTGAAGCTTTCTTAGTTATAATGGACGAACCAATATTGGTTGAAGAAAACGGAATTTCTAATTTTTAGAATCAAATAAGAACCATAGAAATTCTGTCTTTCAACCAAAACGCGTTGGGTTGTTCATTAAAATCAAACTTCACGTTAATATAACTAAATGTTTTTATATGTGCATTTTCATCCAAAATCTATCAATATAGATTTTCGTGACGAGACATGACCATACATGACGATACATGACATATATTCGACAAGAACCATTAAGCGATCTGAGATACAGAATCTTTCTTACATGTGCATCCTTCTGATCCATAGTTCCAATATCCCTGAATACATTGATCGCACCTACGACCAGTGACCCCCGGTTTACATATGCACTGGCCCGTTTCTTCATCACACTGACTGTTTTCAGATGCTAGTCCGCAGTCGCAGGCCTTGCAGCCATCACAGCTGCTGAAACCATAATGATTGGGCGCACAGCGATCGCAGCGTTCGCCGATCACGTTCTCCATACAAAAACATTTCCCACTGTAACTATCGCAGTGCTCCATGCCGCAGTCATCGCACACACAGTTCCTACAATCCTTCTTTTCCACGGCGTCGCCAAAATAGCCGGGTGCGCACAGATTGCACGCCTCGCCGTAGGTGTTATTCAGACACTGTAGACATTGACCAGTGATGGAATCGCACGAATCGACTTGATTGGTGTCGATGTTACCGGAGCATTCGCACGGTTTACAATAGTCGCCGTACGCCTCAGGCTTGCCGTAGTAGCCAGCGGCGCATGCCTCGCAGCGGGCCCCGTAATACCCAGGCAGACAGTCACAACTGATTTTGTTTCCTTCATCGTTCACTTCGCAGCCAGTAGCGAAGTTATTGGAGACAAATGGCAGTGGACACGCACAGATTAGACAGTCAGTCGGTGTGCCTATGGTAGCATTACCGTAATAGCCTTGCTCACAAAACTCACAGTGGTCACCAGTAGTGCCATTTTTGCAATCCTGCAAAATAATTAAGAGATTTTGGAGAAATTTGAACGTTTTGGAGGAATTTCATTTGCAGAAATTCCAACTCACTTGGCAGATTCCGGTGTTCACGTCGCACGTACTTGCGTGGCTATTGCATTGACAGGGCGCGCAATATCCGCCATATGGACCCGATTTTACTCTATAATAACCTGGAGTGCATTCTTCGCATGAAAAGCCTTGATAATTAGGTGGACACTGACACTGTTCTACGCTACTAGCTCGGACGCTGTATTGAGTCGAGTATTGCTCCGTTGTGACGTCCAGAGTCACGTACGATAATCTAAAAGACATTTGACATAGAGAAAGAATATTGATCTATATAGGTTTTAATGTAATTTAAGAGCTCTCTTGCAATCTCAAGGGATCTCGCAATTTGTTTTATTATGCCGCCATTTATTCAAATTTTAGTTTAGATCAATAATCCTAGTTTATACGATAGCCACACTCATATAAAATACGAATCTTGTTTACTTTTTTGTCTCAAATTATACTGAAAGTGGCTATATCATACACGCCAACAGCACATGCGTTGTCAACAGCCAACAGCCAACATTGCACTACGCCCTATAATTCAACCAATATGTGAGTTTCAATTATGAAAAAAATCATGTAACTTCCTGAAAGTATTGAGATTGTGCATTAATTTTAAAGGATTTTCAAGAGATGGCGTAACTAATACTATATCACATCGGGTCATATTGTGCTACCTTCATGTCAAAGCACCATCTTGTGGTTTTAGTTTTCAATATGTGTCATTTTACCGAAATGTAAACAACATTGTTTTTTTTAGCATTGAATATATCGAATTTTGTGCCAACAAAACACAATTTGCGGGAAGCTTTGCTTTTGTGCTTTTGTGCCATTTGAACAAAAGTGCTGCTGAAAGTCAACGAATGCTTATGGTGATTATACTCCATCGATTTCAACATGTGAGTACTGGTTTCGACGCTATAAAAAAGGTGATTTTGACACAGAAGACAAGGAACGTCCAAGCTAGCCGAAAAAGTTTGAAGATGAGGAAGTGGAAGTTTTACTCGATCAAGACTCGAGTCAAACGCAAGAAGAACTTGCAGAATCATTAAATGTTGATCAATCAACGATTTCCAGACGTTTGAAGGTCATTGGAATGATTCAAAAGCAAGGAAATTGGGTCGTCGAAAGGCGCAAAATGACCTGAGAATTGTTGCTTCAAAAACACAGATGAAAAATTTTTTTGCATCGTATCGTGACGGGTGATGAAAAATGGATACGCTACAATAATCCGAAGCGCAAAAAATCATGGTGCAGACCAGACGAATCATCAACATCGACGGCAAAGCCGAATATTCATGGCGCCAACCTCATGCTCTGTATTTGGTGGGATCAGCTGGGTGTAGTATATTATGAGTTGCTCCAACCCAACAAAACCATCACTGGGGAACGCTATCAACAATAATTGATGCAATTGAGCCGAGCATTGAAGCAAAAACGGCCAGATTACGCGAAAAGACACGACAAAGTGATTTTCCAGTACGACAACGCTCGGCCACATGTTGCGAAACCAGTCAAGGAAACGTTAGAAGCGCTTAACTGGGATGTCCTACCACACCCGCCGTATTCTCCAGATATTGCTCCTTCCGATTACCACCTATTTCGATCGATGACTCATGGCCTGTCTGAGCAGCGCTTCCATTCTTATGAGGATACCAAAAAATGGGTCGATTCGTGGATAGCCTCAAAAGATGTGTCGTTCTTTCGATGTGGAATCCACCTATTACCAGAAAGATGGGAAAAAGTAATGGCTAACGATGGACAATATTTTGAATGATCAATTTGTAACCATTTTTTTCACTATAAAGCCGTATTTTTACCAAAAAATCCCTTAAAATTAATGCACACTCCCAATATAATAAAAATATATTGAAAAGTTAAAAAATGTGTCTTATAATATCTTAAAACAAGAAACTCCATAGAAACTTCACTAATTTATGTCTGAAAATTACTCAAAGTTCTTAAGTGCAAAATTGAAGATACATACGAGGCGGTAATGCTGGGATTCCAATATGTAGCGCGCACATATATTCCACTTAGATTTTCGAGAACCACCATTATTTGCTCTCTCGTGGCGCTGAGCTTGTTGGCAGTGAGAAAATTAGCTTCAACAAGACGAACGGACGCTCTGAAGTTTAAGGATGACGGTGGCTGCTCTTCGGAATAAAAGAACAGCGTGATATTGGCGCCTTGAAGAATTATATCGGCGGCGCCGACAGCTTTTCCGAAAGGTCCTGTACTGTAGTAAATAGTATAATTGAAATAACCGCCGTAAGAAGTCAACTTTTTGTTTAGATAGGTGTCTGGTGCCGAAAAATAGACTATATTCTCGAAGGTATCGTTGGTGATGAGAGAGACCGTGGTTGTGGTTGCGTTCACGTATTCGGGGTAAGTTGACAAGATGGTGAAGTTGCCGCTCTTGTCGATGGGCAAAACTAGCTCCCACTCCTCCATGTCCATTAAGTGAGTCCAGTAGAGGCTCGCAGAGGCACATCTGGTAGTCTTGCCGAAGCAGAAACATTTAGTACAACCATCCTCATTCGACGCCTGGATGTCAAAAGTGCCCTCGCGGCACACATCGCACGCCAGACCTTGCACGTTCGTCTTGCAGAAGCATTCCGCGGTGTACTGGTCGCAAATGTCGCTGGTGGTACCGCGCAAATCGCAGTCGCAGCGCTCGCAATGTGGAAACTGCGAATAGCCGGCGCGGCAACGGTCGCACTTACGGCTCACAACGTTTTTCTTGCAGCGGCAGCTGCCATCGAGTAAATCACATTGCAGATCACCATCTAAGACACCTAGAGGCGAGCAGTTGCACTCCTCGCATCCAATGATGGGATGGAAACCGTAAGTACCGACTTTGCATTGGTCACATCGTGGTCCCGTCACTCGAGGTGGACAGATACATCTACCACTGTCCGATTCGCATAGAGCGGGACAGTTACAAGGTCTGCATCGGGGAAAGCCATAAAAACCGGTCTTGCAGATCTCGCAGCGTCGGCCGATGATGTTCGGCCGACAGGGACATTGGCCGCCGAATTTTTCACACTCCAGGCTGGTAGAACCATCGATAATGCAGTTACAGGGCAACGCGCCATTATTGTAATTGGCAGTCAACGAGAAACTGGAATCGCGGCAGAAGCCGTCCTCAGTGATGTTGATATGAAAATGATTGTTACCGCAGCGCTTAATGAACTCCTTCGTCTGGTCGAACCGTAACTTGCTGAGGATCTTTTCATTATATTGATCTGCCGGAATCACTAGCATGTAATCCAACCAAATGCTGCGATTATCGGCGGGCTGCTTCAAGGTCAACACGAAGTTCTCGATCAGCTGGAACGTGATACCTCCACCGTCCATCTGGCGAACGATGCTACGGCAGCCGCTATTGCTGGGACAATGCGGCACCGGGATCTCCGCCTCGTAGAATTTACCGTTCTGTACCAGCATCTCCAATTTGAACTGAGGGTGATCCGGTTGATAGTACTGCATCACGAAAATGTAGTCTCCCGGTTGGGGTACTTTAGCACGAATATCCATGCTGTTACTGTCGCCACCCAAATAAATCAGCTTAGTGATGTTATCGTAGATACCAAGTGGTCGATATTCGGGTACACCGGACGTTTCGAATTCGATCTTCTTGGCATCGGCGTCAGGGAACAGTCCTTGCACGCATTTGCCGTTCTTCCTTACACAAATAGACTTTGGCTTCACGTAATCTAGCGACCACTGATTGTAGGGGATAGCCACTATTGAATTGATACCAACGTTTGAAGTCGGATCGCCAGTCAGTACCAGACTGATATAGTTAGACGCGAAATTCATCACGGCTACCTTGCCGTAGGTGTCGGTGACGACTTGTTGACAAATGCTGGTGTATCTACAAGGATTCAAATTAGCTTTACCCTTACCGATAGTGTCGGCCTCAATCAGTAGGACCGATGTAGTCTGCTCGTCGCTTGGAGTTACATAAGTTACCACGAGAACATGAGGACCGGGCTTACTGATCCTAAGCTCGAAATGAATCTCTTCCTGTTGATCGTTAATTAGCGGTATCTCGTCCTCTTTGATCTCCTGCAGAACTTCGTGATCTGTCAAGAGATTGGTCAACGAGATTCTAAGGTTGTTCTCGGTGATAAAGCCACCTGCGCCGCGGACAGAGTCGAATCGCGTTAAATTCGGGTAACCATAATGCCTGCAGAGTCCTTTGTAGCCGATTTTGCAGGGCATATTCACGTCTTGCGTTAGTATGGTTCCTTCGTAGTATTCGGATGGCAACAAAACAAAATAATCGAGAAACAGACTCTTTTTCGTGGCGATGTTAATGGACCAATGTCCGGGATTCATCACCATGGGCGACGGCTGGTTGCCGTGGATTCCGGCAACTGTTAGGAAGGATGGTCGACTGGATGGCTTGAAGTTTACTTTGAATTGTTGCTGTACTTCGGATGGATTGTCCGGAGTGATGGTAATAATACCAAGGATTGATTCGTTGTTGGGATTCACGTAGCGCAAGACCATCCGGTAAAGCGAGGATTTGCTGATATCGACGCCCAACATAATCTCATCTTGCAAAGCAGAGAACACGGCGTAACCTTTCCAACTGTAGCCCGGGAAAAGATCCTCTGTGAAACCGTAGCGGACGCGACTTCCACTTGGTGTTCTGCCATCTTCGGCTTCATACTGATACTGGTGAAGAGTGGGGAAGTAATGTGCCTTCAGAGGGTCCTTGCACGTCAGACCAGTCACTCGCGGCTGACAAGGACACTGGCCGGTTTGTTTGTCGCATATCGGGCTTACAGAACCGCCAACATCACAAGCACAGTCTAATCGGAGGATGAAGTGTTGCGTTAGAAATGAAATTTTACAAAGTGAGAGAGATCGACTTACCAGAACAACCGAAGACGTTACTCTCCTCAAGATTATACGTTCCGTCAACGCATCGGCTGCATTCTCTATCAGTTACACCAGGCTTGCATATGCACTGTCCAGTCTTAATATCGCATTCACCGATGCCGCCGATGACTCCGAAAGGATTGCATTGGCACTCTTAAATGCAGATGTAATATTAATAATAATTTGGACCAAAGAAAGAGAGATAGAGTATTCTCAGATTAAACACGAACTTTCACATCCATCGAGATTGTAAGATTGTAAATTCCAGTAGAGTGGCTTGCATTGATTGCATATTCTGCCTTCGACTCGATCCTTACATTGGCAGAGTTCGCCAGGGGGCAGAGAACCGCAACCTTGGAAAGTTGGGACTATACCAGCCGGATCGCAGTTGCAACCCTCGCAAGTCGGGAAGTTGTAGTAGCCCTCTTTGCATTGCTCGCATCGAGTGCCATCGAAATTCTCCCGACATTGGCACATCCCTTCGCCGTCACAGGATACGCCGATTGAACCGTGGCTGTCGCAGTTGCATGCTGCAGTTGAAATTATGAAAACACTATAAGTAAGGTATTTTCGAAATTAGCAGAAGACCGGAGAGCTTTAGCGCGAATTACGTACGGATGCATTCTGGATATTTGTAGTATCCTGGGCTGCACTGATCGCAAGTCCTACCGGCAAAATTGGCGAGACACGAACATTTTCCCGCAGAATCGCAGCTGACAGTGGACGAGCCAACAGCACTGCAGTTACATGGTCTGCAATTGGGATAACCGTAATATCCAGAGATGCATAGGTCGCATCTAATACCGCCATATCCTTCTTTGCACAGACAAACACCGTCTTGCTTGTCGCAAATGCCAGGTTCGGTTCCACGAGGATCACAGTTGCAATCTGCAGGAAGAATGGTATGCAAAATTGTAATCAAAATTTTTTTACGTCTAGAATACTTGGAGTATTTTGACGTACATGTACAGAGAGGATAATTGAAGTATCCATTCTCGCAAATGTCGCACGTTCTACCACCATAATTGTTCTTGCACGTGCAGTTACCGGACACCACGTCGCATAAGTCGTTTAGGGCGCCAAGAGGATTACAGCTGCATGCTGAAATCGTAAAAACCTATGTAAAATTTCAATTATTCGCACACTGAAGACTGACTGTGATATTGAAAATTTATTAGAGAAATTCACTTACGCAGGCACTTAGGAAAGTCGTAGTATCCTTCCGCGCAGAGGTTGCAGTAGTGACCGGCGTAGTTTATTTTGCAGGGACAGTAACCGTCTGTCGCTTCGCAGTGGTAACCGTCGGTTCCCGGCAAGTGACACTCGCAGGGTCTGCAGTTAGGATAGCCGAAATATCCGTAATTACAGGAGTCGCAGTTCGGTGGCGTGAATTCCTCCCGGCACTCGCACCTGCCGCTGGAGTCCGCGCAGTTTCCCGTTGAATAAAAGTAATCACAATCACATGCTAAATGAACACACAATGTTTTTTATAAAATGTCTAACGTTCAAAAATATTGGGTTTTAATTGAAAGAGAAAAGAGAAGAGTGGAGAGAGAGAGAGAGAGAGAGAGAGAGAGAGAGAGAGAGAGAGAGAGAGAAAGAGATTAGAACTGCAAAAATATTATAATTAAATTTTTATAATTAAAATTTTTATATTAAAATTTTTATATTATAATTAAATTTTTTTCAATTTAATAAATGATTTGAACAAATATATTTCAATTCAACAAATTTATAATTGATTCGCACAAATTCAAACAAAAGTTGTTTAATTGACGATCAATTTTAACGAATTCAAAATTCATTCAATTGATGATTGATATGAAGAAAGAAAATCATAGATCGTTCGATTAATAATTGAGCTTAGCAAATTTAATTAGAAGCCATTACATTGATTAATGATTGCTATGAGTAAATTCAATCAAAGACTATTCGATTTATATGACCAGTGTCCCCTCAGCTTTTATCTTAGTGTCTCAACGCTATCCTGCTTAAAATAGATAATTTCGTTAAGAATTGATAAAAATATATAAAAATTGTATTGAAATGCTATATGACTTCATCTAATTTTATCATTTCTAGCAAAAATTTCTAACATTTTAGTTCATATAAAACAATCACCAATTTCTTATATCGCGCGCGTGTAACTTACTTTTAATGATTAAATATTATATTAAACAATTAATTAAATATTTACCTGAATACATATGCTTTTCTATGTAATTTTATTATTTTTTATCAAAATATGATTTAACTACATACATTTTTTTTAAGTAATAAATCTATTAAATCTTTGAAGAAACACTGAGGGAAATGTTTGATGATACTAACCAGAATTCTATTTAGGTTTACCAAACGATATGGTGAATAATCGTGTAATAAGATATTTAGTCAATGATACCAAACTATCTGGTGAGCGCATTGTCTAAGTAGCATTACAATAATGCTTAAATACATTTACCAAACCGTCTGGTACAGCATACAATTCATTTGGTGAATGTTTTAAGAATACAGTTTTAAGAATACAGTGGAATAGTATTAGATTTCTTACCTAACTTAAAATCTAACCATTGGTCTGTTCTTTTCAGCTGCACTGCTGAACTGGTGCAATGAGTTAAAGTGAGACAAATATATGTTTTCTCACTCTAACTTATTGCACCAGTTCAGCAGTGCAGCTGAAAAGAACAGACCACATATTATATATAATTTTCATATACTTACTGTATATAATTTTCATATATTAGGACCTTAACTTAGTTTCCGCCCAAAAAATACTGAGAAAAAGCATTTATTGTAAAAAATTTAGTGACTCTCCAGAAGCTCCGGGAGCTTGGTTGAGAGGTTCTTATGCATCCACCTTATAGTCCGGACCTGGCACCAAGTGATTACCACCTGTTCCTGTCTATGGCGAATGATTTTGCTGGTGAAAAAT